CCATTTTGCTGCTGCTGATACAGGGCTGCTCCCAACCCATAACTGCTGGCGTCCGCACTTACTACCGTGGGTTTTCTTGCGTCATAATACGCTAAGACTGGGGTTGTAGTCAGCAGAGTCTTTACCTGACTAAATGACTGTTCTTGCGCTGCGCCCCAAATCCATGCAGCATCTTTCCGCAGTAGGCTGGTAATAGGGTACATAACCGCTGAAAGATCAGGGAGAAACTTCCCCAGATAGTTGATCATCCCAATACACTGGCGTAGTTCTGTGATGTTAGTGGGACTGGGCAGCTCTGTGATGGCTTTGACTTTTTCTGGGTTTGGCTTGATACCATCTTTCCCAATGATGTGTCCGAAATACTGAATTTCCGGCTTTCCAAACTGACATTTGTCCCTATTCAATTTCAGGCCAGAAGTCTTGATAGTCTGCATGACTGCCTGAAGATTTCTATCGTGATCTTGTTTGTCCTTACCAAAGATCAGGATGTCATCCATAACCACCACGGTGCCAGTGTGATCTTTCAAGAGAGCACTCATCTTCCGCTGAAATATTTCTGGTGCGGACATAATCCCGATTTTCAGTTCCTCTTCTACTTGTGGCAGGATAGGAAATGGAATACGCCGTGGCGAGGCAATACTGTAGGGCTGAACGTCAGGTCTGAGTTCTATTTTAACAGGGTCGCACTTTAGTAGACCATTGTCCCCAAAAACATCCTCATATGCCTCAAGTCTCTCCACTCGACGTACAAGTCCCATTTTCATAGCCATTTCTCTTCCCAATAGGTTTGTAGTGTAATGGACCTCTCATTACATAAATCCAAAGTGAGTACTTATTTCCTCGTCTCTCACAATCTGTCAAAAACTTGCCTTTGCAACTCAATTCTCCTCCAGGACTTGTGAAGACTGCTTTAGTATTTTTCAAAACAGGGCGCCGTGGCAAGCATCGATAAGTATGTTCTGACATAACTGTAATATCAGCCCCAGTATCGATTCTAAATTTCACATTTGTCCCATTGATATGCAGATCTTGGAACCACTTGTCATTGTTATTGTCTTCTCCTGTAACGGTTCCTAAGAACCATTCACTGCCTTCATCACTGTCTGTATTTTTAGTTCTTACTGCTCCCACGTTTTTAGTTCTGCACATTATTTCAAAGTGACCCATCTTGTTGCATTTTCGACAGCGTTTCCCTGTAGCAGGACAGGCCCCATAGTCATGTGTTCTGCCACATCTAGTACAGTTTTTCCCTTTAGCTGACTTATCTGCTACTTTGTACTGTGGGTCATTTGTGTCTCTAGCATGCCTCTTTCCAAATGGTTTGTATTTCCTGAATTTGTGTGTAACAACACTTACTTCATTTTCAGTAGGTCGATCACGAGCATTTTGCACTTTGATGAGTTCAGACTGTCGAGCCACACTGATGGCTTTTTCCAGCGTTAAGTCTGGCTCCAATTGTAATTTCTGCGACACTTCAATGTCCGCGATCCCGATGACAATACGATCTCTTATCTGCTCGTCCTTTGTAGTTCCAAACTCACAATGTTGTGCTAGTTCATAAAGATGTCTCACAAATGCCTCCACACTCTCTCCCTTTTGCTGAGAGTATTTGTGGAAACATGCACGCTCGTGTATGGTATTTCTCTTGGGCACAAAGTGTTCCTCAAACTTCCCTACCACTGTTTCATAATAGTCATAATCTTCATCTTCCTCTTCTGGGAATGTAAACGTGCTGAATATGGGCTCTGCATCTTGTCCCATAGCATATAAGAGAGTATTTACTTGTACTTCCCCGCTCTCCTGGTCGAGCTTCGTAGCGATCCGATATCGAGAAAAGCGCTGCTTCCAGGCCGGCCACGCCGAAGGCTGGGTGAAGTCGAACGACTCAGGTGCATGAAGCTTCGCCATGTCACTGTTCCAAAGGTCCGTCTTCTCTCAAGCTGCTAGGACATCCCACTTCTGACACCGTGTCATGAAGCTCACAGAGACTTTCATTTGTGACTTGGTGAAGGGTTTTATTTGAACATCATTCGGGAAACTCTTTCAACAACTCCCTAACATGGGCTTTTTCGCGTACCTCGCTATTCAAGCATATACCAGCCCACAGTGACACCCTGTGGGCCTACACAATCATTACAGCTAAATATCACCACACTAAGTAAAGGTATAAATGAAAGCATTTAAATTAAAAGTATATTATATTATTGATATATGGCAACAATAGTTGGTGTCTGTCTCTCTATAAGCTGGAATCTGGATATCTATATTTCAAATGTGCTGTGTAATGCTCTTAAGATGCTTTGTGTGTCCACCCACACACACACACGTTTCCAAATCCTAACATGTATTTTATTGTATGCAGTGTTCTCTCTTTCAAGCCACAAAACACAGCCTGCCAACTCCAAACAATCTGTTTACTGTGACAAACACATTTCCATATCATGCAAAACCAGCACTGTTGGATTTGTGCAACACCACAACTAGTGAAACAGACAACCTTTGCAGAAAATTAGAAAAAACCCCTGCTCTTCTGGTAACAGATGGTCACTCATACCAAGGTTGGGCAGGGTCAGTCAGACTATACCAAACTGGATACCAGTGCTGCTCCATGACAAAATATAGGTACAAAATTTGCAGTGCATTTTACTTTTTATTCCCCCCCTTTTCCTTTTTTCTTATGCCTTGATTTCCAGTGATTATTTCTGAATTTCTTCTGAAAACCACTGCCCTGGACCTGTAAAACACAAATGTGACAGTATGAATGTCTGTTAGTGAAAAATGCATAATAACATTAATAAAGTTGATCTCCACAGACAAGAACACAAATATATACTCTACAGACCTTTTTGCGTTTCTGCAGTGCCTGCTTGTCCACTTCCATTTCCTCATCCTCAACTGTTTGGAAGTCATCTTCCTCTCCATCCCTGTCACCTTCTATACTTGCATCCGCTGGGTTTTTTAAAGTGAGCATAGATGCTGTGGGAAATAACACAGTGTTCTAGCAAAGTAAAACTGCAACCCTGCAAGTTTGTTTGACCAAACTAAAACTTCTCTTAGCCATTGATCTGCATGCATGCAGTGGTTTATCAGTGTATTTAATTTACCAAAATAAATATAATGAAATTAAATATAATCCTCATTTCATTTGGTGTGTTCTTCTGCCTGAAATGAAAACATGCCGACTCTCAGATTGCTACCATAAAACAAGTGGACAACATCATCTACAGTGTGTGTGCCCTTGGGATACTGACAGGGATAGAGGTCACTCATGCTGTCTTCGGAGTCACTGTGATCTTCGTCACTGGTTGAAGGTTCCCACATGCTGCTGCCGTGTTTTGATGCCTTTCCCCGACTGACGACCTCTTCAAAGTGTTTGGGCCTTTTCTGTTGGAGTCTGGCTGGAACAAATTCAATCCCCTGCTGCACACACTCTTCATCTAGAGCAAGAATGAGACAGTCATGTCAGTAATGAAGTCAAAGTGTCCAGCAATTCATGTTAAAATATTACTGCACTGTATATTGACCTGTACTCCATTTTTTCAGCTCATTGCGTTTCACACAGCTTAATCTAATAGAATGCTGTCAATATTACTAAGGTAAGGGTGATGTCTATTCTAAACATGACTTCTGAATCTACAGAATCTAATAGTTCTTTTCCTTCCAAAATTATGGGTATCATACCAAACGTTTATGTGACCTGGGCTTTGTGTCAGTAACCCAAAAGTTAATATCTGGAAAAGGTGACATGCATGCAGATCGGTGAGCACTGACATTTGGAGAGGGCCTTCTTGTAGCGTTTCCCGTTGACATGTATTAGAACAGCATGTGGCTGCCGGTTGAGATGTCTGAGTGTCAGTTTACAGAAGAGCTGATTGCTGGAAACCACACAGAACATGAGAAAATTAATAACAAATTATCCTGACAGATTCTGCCCATTTCTGAGTAACAATACACTACTGCAAGGACAATTAGGACTACGGTAGTGCTTCACCCTGCAAAATGACAGTATACAGACAAAAGCATGTGTCTCCTTACGGTTGTTTTGTGCTTGGCACAATGTGTGGTTCATACTGGCTGTAGTTGAACTGTGCTGTAGTACTCAGTTTCTCATATTTCTTTCCTTGAGTAAACTTCTGCAGCTCCTTCAGGTTGCATGGAAACTCGTGACCATTCAGTGTGCATTTGATCTGAAACAACAAATTAGGTGGCACATTTCGTACATTAAGCGGTGTTAATGACGCTGTTTAGCTTGGAGCAGCATCGAAACTGGTAGTCATTGATAGGTTTCCATCTAGGTCAACAAACACATTTAGCCAACACATGGCTCATGAGGTGCATTAGCAATACGGCTAACATCACATACTACCAAAATGTACTGCCTGTACTGTGATGCAATTTGCTCGCTAACCTTTTTGCCATCTGTAAGCTGAAGAAAAGGGTGGTTAAGAAGAAATGCTCTAAGGTCCCCAGGTAACTCATCCATAGCTTAAAAATTCTTCAAACAAGTCTTCTAGTGTGATGATCAGGCCAGCCCCATTACAGGAAACGACTAAACGTGGGTTTACTGCAGTGCCTCTGTTGCATAATTTCTCAGCGCCATCCACTGCTCGAAGGGGGGAAGGTCAGCTTAGAGGAAATAAAATAAAGCTTCTCATTCAACTATCATTACCATATTTATCAAACAAGTCCCTCTGATTAAATCACTTTGAGCAAACCGAGTAAAGGTCATTTTCAGCAATGCTAGCAGAGAAACAGGTGAGATAAACTAACTCATTTGACGAGATTAACGTCATGAAACTGTACGCAAGAAATCAGCTACTATGATGCGGTTTCTTCAGTGCATTTCAGTCTATAAACATAACCAATTCGAACTGCTATCATCTTTCTGGCACAGTGCAAAATTACACATGGCGAAAGTCAAGTATTAGCAGTGCAGCCACTCAGCTGACAGCCTCAGAATCAAAGAGCACGGGACTAGGAGATAGTCCACTGTGTTCGTAAGCACAGAAGCCGAGACGATACAAGTGAAATTTAAATAAAGAGTAATTGTGCTAGAAAACTGGCACTGGTTATGGTAATGTAAACACACAATTATATACAGCATCCTCTGTGCTTTAGAGTCGAAGGTATTTCCATTTATTTAGCAGTCGGATTTTCTGTACAGAGTGACCCATCGTTCTTCAAACCGATCTTTGCTGAGACCGTAAAGGCCCGCCCACTTATCACCCATGATTCTTCATTTCCGTAAACAAATCCTCGACGTCTGCCAATGACAAATGTTAAGGAAGCTAACAACTAACATCTTCGGAGATTTCCACCTGGAACCAGTGGATCTGTCCACACCGCCAGGAAATAACACTGAACATTAAATTAAAGTAGATATTTATTAGTACACTTGGTGTTGACTTTGCTGAATTTGAATTGTTAGTCGAAGAGGCCTTTGCTAATCTCACTAGCTTAGTTAACAGTATAAAAGTAACGCTAGCTAACGAAAGACTTAAAAAAATAAAAATAAAGTATTAAAAGTGAACATAACACAATGTCTGGACCAAATGGAGATCCAAACATCTCTATTGATGATGGCATTCTGAATGACGAAGATGAATTCGGCGAGGAAGGTAACGCTAACCTTGATGATCAATTAACATTATGTTCAGTCATTGTAATAGATGCTTACGCCGTTATTGCAGTAGCGGGGGAAAGTCCGCTGTGAAATCAAATTCAGTGCGCTGTTCCAGTGATTTTTGGTTAATAAAGTAAAAATCTACAAAGTCTAAGCTGACCTGAAGCAGTAATGTATAGTGCTTTATCCCATGGCTTGATGTCAGGTGACAATAACTTTGAATTAGCTTGGCGAGTTCATAGAATTTCCGATTGAGATGTTACATCAATTAAGTTGAATGAAGTAAAGCAACACCCACAGATTAAATTGGTATATTTATACAGCTACCAAATTAGACGCATTACTATGCTCTGTGTTAGCTACTTGGCCATTAAATCAAAACCACAGGAAATATTTTTTTCTGCTACTTGTCCACAGAGTACACTGCCATCAACTCCATGCTAGATCAGATCAACTCATATCTTGATGACCTGGAGGAGCGGAATGATGCACTTAATGGCAAACTGCATGACCTGATGGAGTCAAACCGGCAAGCCCGGCTGGAGTTCAGAGCCCAACTCCTAGGCTCTCCAACCCAGGAGCAGCATCGTCCTGCAGATGGGGACTCCTCATCCGGCAAGGAAGACCAAGGGGGCTCTCAAATGAGTGGGAGGAAGGAGTAGATAAAGAGGACTGTGTTCAGCAAGGATAGAAATATTTATGAAAATTAACAACTTCTGACCTCTGTTTGTTGGACTAGTGACCTTTGATCTGCGTAGTCCATGCCTATCTGATTGTTCTGTTAATTTACACCCCCATCAGTGTATGCCAGTGATATTTGGATTCTCCCCATCACTGAACTAAATCTAGACTTTCTCCTTCTTTTGAACTGTGGTGTGCTGATGCTTAATTCTGGAGCAGATTGGAGTTTTGACCTCTAGCAGCTTGTCATACCAGTTGGACAGCTGTCACATGCTGAAATGTGCTGGCAAAAACATAAAAAGCTGTTCCTCTGTGCAGCTTTTTGTTTAGGGTCATGTGAGACATCTTAAGAGATTAATTCCTTAAGCCAGAAACACTTCAATTTTAAATCAAGTAATAAAAAATTGTGGTATTATTGATTAAACAATTCTCAAAACTACAGGACTTTGCTCTGATTCTTAACACAAATTAATCATTTGAAGTCACCAAGCGGTTTTATTTGTAAGGCAACTTAGCCAAGAAGTGAATGATTTGAATACTTAAACCCTACACCCAGTTATATGCTGTTGTGCAAGGTGATCTGTACCATATGTACAACTGTACATTGTACAGGCTCTCAAGCTCACAAGTCAGCCCTCACAACCACTCTGTAGTGTGTTTCTGGCTTTAGTGAAAGCATCCATTGAGTGTTGACTTCGGCCTTGTAATGGCTGTATAGTCTCTGAAAATATTGTATTATTCAAAAAAGTAAATATGCAACATTCCATTTGTCTACCAGTGGATTATAAATCTACACTGTGCTGTCCTGTTCAATTTCATTAAACAAGTTGGCAAAGTGTGGGAATTGTCTGACATTTTAATATGAATTAAAATGACTCCCAAACAGAAAACAAACCATCCAAAAATACATTAAACTTCCAGCAGTTAGAAAACATCACCTGTTCATATCAATTTGTCAGTAGTTGAATAAAAATACAATAAGAAACATATAACTGTGTGAAATTATTACATTCTTTTATCTCCTCTGCTCCATCTTATTTCAGACAGAACATGACTGTTCATGTGACAGTTGCCATCATGACTACAAGAATTGCTACATGCGTCAGCCAGCCTTCTGTGGTTTTGAATATTCTTCTCTATTATGGAGGATGAAATGTTTCCAAAACAGCACAGTAATCATGAACAAGGAAACAATACATCCTGATTTACACTTTGTGGTAGTATGTGAGTGCTGAAAGGTGGGAACCAATGTTGCACATAACTCTGTACCTAGCATAGCCTACTGTACATTACTGGTGCTTTGTACTGGAGTTCAACAATTGTAAGGATAGTTTGCTACATTAGATACCTAAAGACACCTGTTTTTATTTTCTCGCAAATATTAGTGCGACCATTAACTCAACTGTCCAGTGTATAGCAACTGAAACATCTTCAGTATGAAAAAGGCAAAGCAATGGTAAACTGGAGGCAAATAGGCACCAGCTACCACTACCATGTGTGAATGCTCATAGAAGCATTTTATCCATAGAAATGTAAAATTAATTTTATTCTAACTGTAGGCACACAGAGTAACGTTGTATAAGTGAAGAGTCATTTGGTTGATAACTATGGCATTAAACTCGGGTGTACTAACTGCCAGTAGGACAATAAGAACCTGTGCAATGCTGTTGGAGTGAGAGGACATATCAGCCTCAAACCTGACATCAACTTGAACCCAAGGTGTCTAAAAATAGAAAAGGATGATAAATGCCCTGAACACAACTATGATCAGCTTCAAAATTCAGCATTTCACTCAAGCCTAAGTACCATTTTAACACTTTTTTTTATAAAACAAAAACCTGTCACCTGGTCAAACATATAATTTGGTTACATTCTACATTTCAGCTCATGTGCTACATGTTAAGCAGTGTGGAAAATGGATCAACTTTACCATTAATACAGCTTTCATTCAGATAGCTAGATAGAGGATTTTGAAAATACATGACAGTTGGCCCTCATCAATCTCCCGATCTTCAATGACAGCAGGGTGGGAAATAAACATTTTGGCGAGCCTGCGACAGAGGTTGCAGAATATAAAATCTACTGGTCCTTTTGTTTTCATAAACATGACCACATTTAAAAAGCCCAGACATTGTTCATTTAGGGGATCAGTGCCAATCCAAGTGAGCGCAATATTTGGAAATAAAAGGTGGGAAAACTGATTCTAATTGTGACTGGGCAACCTAAATCCATTTTTTTTTTCTTTATTACTCCAATATTTGTACTATAACTTTACAATTCTACCTATTAAATGTGCATTTAGGTTTTATGATTTTAAACCAGTGTCCCCCAAATCCATACTACATAATGCTCATTTGAAATACAACTGTCACAGTATACTAGGAGTAATGCTCTGTGAGCTTGAACTTTGCACAGCTGTCCTTTGAACTAAATGCTAGTGACAACAGGCAAGTGTAACGTTTTCCATGTTCTCCATTTTAGTTTAGCATATTAGCATGCTACTATTTGCTAATTATCTCAAAATACAAAGTACAGCTAAGGCTGCTGGGTGAAACTTTATGACGCTTTGGGGCTTTCCTTCCTTCAGTGCCAAAAAGAGCTGAGGCTTTGGGGCTTCAAACAGTGCAAGTACAGTGACATCTGGTGGCATGTAAAACTTACAGCAGGCACTGAAGGCTGGGACTGAAGCACTACAACACCTCACAGATTTCAACAGGTTTCACCTCGTGTTTGTGGGTGAAATAAAAAGTCCCAGAAGCCTGCATGTTATTAAATCTATAACACTTTTTGTTAAGAAGAGCTTCATTAAAAGTTGTTTCTGTGCAATAGGTTTGTTAAAATAAAATAAATAATGAATTTGTTGTCTAGAAAACCCAGATATACAATATGTTCATACCACCATGTAAAAATGTGCTTTATTAGTGCAGTTCACTGGCCCATTGTCACCATGGAACTGTTTTAACCTCACAGATGATATTTATGTAACATCTCATGAGCCGTAATGTGACAGGATTGAAGACTGATATTCATTAACAATATCACTTTATAACATTACTTGGAAACAGGTTGAAGCATTCTTATAACTATGATGATTATGTCTTTCTAGTACATTGCTAGATTCTTCTTATTCCACTCATGTCCCTAGTTTTGCTGTAATCTAATGGCTGGGGGCCTATATAAGAAAAAACATTTCTAACTGGAGGCCATTATTAAGAGGCTTACCCACCATCAAGCAGTCAGGTCTTAATTTCCCACCCTGGGACAGAAGTTCACCGTCATCAGTCTTCTGACTGACACTGCAAGACGCTGGGCTGTTCACTTCTTGGTCTCTGTTTCAAAAAAGCACCTCTTCATATACTGACACATCCTATCCAAAGGTTGTACCTGATTTCCTGACTTTCCACATCACATTACTGACTCAACACCTGTTTGTGGCCCTGCCTGACCTGCGTTTGGTCGCAGTTTTTGCCTTTCCTGTACAGTTCTTTTTCCCTGGGAGAACAGGAGCTTCTTCTTCCTCGTCTTCATTAGCATCCTTAACAGCTGCTGCCAACTCTGAGCCTGGCCCCTCTCTGCTGCCAACAGGCAGCTCAACAGGACTCTCCTGATCTCCAGATGCCTGGGATGTGGTCTCTTCCTCTTTGCTGTGGAGGCAGAGGTCTTGGTCTGTGCTGCCAGTGCTTGTTACTGAGGTGGCAGTGAAATCCTGTGACATCGGCCTGTGTTCTGCTTCTTTCTCCTGTTGGTTGTCTGTCTGCACTTTCAGTCGGGTGAGTGTAACGATGGGATGCATGGAGTTTTGGTTGGTCAATGAACCATCAATGCAGTAATTTTTATCTGAACAGTCAGTAGTGATGTCTGTTACAGGCCTGAGGCTGTCCCCAGCTAGGAGAGATTCTCTGGAAGATTCAACAGCCTCACCCTTTTGACTCAGCAACGCGCTGTACGTCTGAGAAAAGAATGCAGAAAGATAATGCAGTAAGCCAATGGAAATTACTCAAGGATAATACACTTTGATGCATTTGATCACGTTGCAAAATTGAGTAATCACAAATCCTGTCCTTTAAATACAACTGTACTTGTTTTTAGCCCAAAAAGAACACCACCTACTCATTTGAAAACAAAAATACTTGACGAGTTAAAGAAAAAAAACAAAACAAAAACAAAAAACACAATAACTGTATTATTTAACATTTTTGTGATTGGCAGCTTTGCTGTGTATCCCTGGATTAAAGCTTGGGTTATATAATCAATAAAAATAAATACATGCCTCTCTTATCTGCTGAACACAAATGGCCACAAATATTAATATACTTAACTACAATTGCTACGCAACCCTGACTCGAACTGGGGCCGCAATGCCGAGAGCGCTGCGCCTTAACCACTAGCCTACCAGGGAAGGCTTCATTCAAGCCACAAATAATCAGTCGTTAAAAACAAACCTTAAGATTCTCAAAGTGCTTCAGTGATTTGCAGTGGGTGTGTAGAGCAGGGGATTCAAAGTGGTAGAATTTGTTGCAGAGTCTGCAGATAAAACCTGCTACTGGAACAAAAAAACTGGACCCTGCAATGAAGGAAATCAGAAACCAGACTTAAATGTGATATTTCACAATATTGAATGCTATCAGTAAATCCCATCTAGAAGAAAAGGCAAGAAAACAAAAGGATTTCTGCAGTGAAGACCCAGGAGTTAGTCATCACTTACCGTAGACTGTATCAGGGTCATACTTCTCATCACTGGCCATGTCTTTTAGGGTCACCTCTTTAAGGGAGGACCAGCCCCCCTGTACCAGGTCACAACAGACATGGTAAACAACCACTTTATGATAAGTACACCAATTATAAGGTACTAATAGTGTGCTGTGGCAAAAGGGTGCTGATATAAATTTCCCATTACAAGTGTTATTTCAGAGCTTAGCTCAGAGTGATGTTTAACTCATCAAAGCTTTCTGGCCATTTAAATGCACATGTTGGACAGACTTAAAAATGTCAACAAATAACCTGTTTCTCAAAGAAGTCTTTATCTCCTTCCTCGTTCTGTCTGTCCTCTCCCTCCTCCACCTCACTGCCCTCATCCTCTTCCACTGAAAAGCCATCTGTGTCTGTGGATGTGAGCTTGGCTAAGGCCTCACAGCTCCCTTTTTCCTGGAGCTGAAAAACAGTAATGAGTACATTAGTGAGGTGCAACAGTGACTGTTTAATTTCTCTGGGGAAAAAAACTTGCCGTCTTTACAAATATAAAAACACATACCTTCTCTACTTTCTGTCTGTGATCCAATGACTGCAAGTGCTCTACAAACATTTGGGAGGTCCTGAAGTGCTTCTTGCAGACTGTGCAGGAGGAAATGGCTGCTCTACTGGCAAGCTGAGGAGAGATGAAGGGATACCAGCCCATTACTAATTACTCTCAATAGATGCAATCAGAGAAAATGTTTTAACAATAAAATGGGCAGCTGATTACTTTGTGCTCCTCTGTGCGACGATGGTCCATGATGCTACTGGTGAAGTGGGTGTGACAGGTGGCACACCAATGCTTCAAGTCAGTCTTTTTCTCCCTGCAAAGAAATATCTTTTAGGACTCATAAGGATCATTTACTCTAGCCTGGACACACACAGTTATTTGTTTATGAGTCACCTAAAAGATGTGTAATTATCTTGCTTGCTGTTTTCAAAATCAGAATACAAAATCTAAACCAAATGCATTTTTGTGCATTTAGAAACAGACCCATCTTTGCTTGCTCCCTGTAAAGACTCTTGCACTCGTGGCAGCAATGTAACCAGACAAGCGTTGCTCATGTGCTGGATTTCCATCATCCTTTGCTGGTGGGAAATGCTGTTCATATGACTCCTAAAATTCTACAAAACCACAGAAGAGAGAAAATAAAAATTAGAAGAAGGAACAGTAACACTATCATTATGAACTGCACATTCCCAGCAAACAAGAGCATCCATATTCCCTGTAAAACTGGTGTGTGTGTGTGCGTGTGTGTTTTCAGCCTACTTGCTGGTTGTGGCAGGTAATGCTGCAGAGGTAGCAGTAAAACTTGTTGGCGCCCTCTGCTACAACCTCCTCTCCTTCATCCTGGTTGTCTGGTGAACCCAAAGAGGCATCTTTTCCCTGTTGCGGTTCCTCTGAGGCTAAATTAACCTGCTGATCATCTTCACTCAGCCTGCCAGACAAACAGCTGTGCACCTACAGAGAGGTTTCACAAACCAGATGTAAACCCAGCGTCATGTGTTTTTAAAACTGAAATATGGCAGAGATATACACTCAGTCTAATGTGACCCACCTTTGTAGTAGTGTTTGCATACTGATTGTTACATAAACAAAATATTTTATTAGGTGTTTACATCTTTTTGTCTGTGACCTGACCATACCAAATAAAAAGATCCTCTCACCGCATCAGCTCTGCTCTCCTCCAGAAACTCAACAACATCTGAACCACCTGCAGAACCTCCTATCTCCAGAACAACACAACCTGGGAAATGGTTTGAGACCAATACATTTAAGTATTTATCTTAACTGGTGTAAACTACAAAAGACTTATAGGAAATTACTGCTTAATATGTGAAGTATTTGAAGCATCTACTCTCCAGTGTTTTACCTTCAGACTGGCTCTCCTTAGTGCTGCTATTGCACTCTGAAGAAAGAACCTCCCCACGTGCAACAGTGACAGTTTTGACAAAACACTGTTCTTTGGTCTCCTGTGACCTGAGAAAAAGAAAAAAAAAAACAAACGTTGAAGGTTAAAATTATTTCTGACTTCCAGTTAACGAAGGCAAATTACTTCTATAATCTTAATTTGTATTAAAAAACACACTGTAAAGCACTATGCAACCCCAGTTTCTACCTATGGATAAGAGACACCATAGACTGCATGGACAATATGAGAGCTCCACAGGAAGTGAAGCCCTCACAAATCAATCACTCCATGGTGGCTGGCACAGGTACAGGTCATACACCTGTACCCTCAATGTTAACAAATGGGACATGACCCAAACTTCTTTCTGTCATTTTAGGTAGATTATATCACAATGATCTGATGATATAAAAGGGGGTGTATTTTGGATGACTGACAGCTTTGATTGGAGGCTTGATATTGCAGCTCAACCTGTGGTCACTAGCATACAGAATCTGGTTGAAAAATGCATCAGTAAATATAACAGCAAGATGGCAGCCTCTGTATTGGTGACAGCCTGGCTTCATATTTGCATAGTGACATGCTGTCTGTCTTCATATACAACTTATGTTAAACACTGATGGCAATCATAGCAACAAAAATGGATTTCATACTCCTCTGTCCTTTGCTTCTTCACTACAGGCTCTTCAAGTTGCTCCACTGAGATCTGTGTGGGTCCATCTGCTGGTAGAATATGCAAAACCAAAGAAGAGAACATTGTCTATTAACAATTGTTCACCATCAGTCTTCTCCAAGTATTGTAGTTTATGGAGGCACAAACACAAGTTTAAAATTACATACAATATTCAGCTTATGCCATTCCCCTCAGGCTCCCACCTTAAACAATAGACATCTTTCAGTGCTGACTGGATTGTAGCTCTCTACCTGTTTCAGACTTATCACTAGATTCGCTGGTGCTGTTAGCTGCTGGCTGGTCGTCTGTGCTCCCTGCTGCCATCTGCTCGCTGTCTCGTTTCCTGTCTGGCTGGCGAACTGCTGTGTCCTACACACAGAGAAAGAAAACAGGATTTCAGTTACACTATTTATAAAAAGGTGTGGGTTGTTTATTAAAGTCAGAATCAAACACTAGGCCCGACTGACATGGCTATACCTTCAAGTCTGAGATAAAGCCGGAGCAAAAGGATATTACCACAAGTGCAGATAAGAGACACTTGTGTTAGAATTTTATAGAACAAACCATTATTTTCATTACTCATTAACCTGTTATTTACTAGTTTTGGTTAACCAGTTAGTATAAAGAATGTCAGAAAACTGGGAAAAAAATTTCCAACAACCTCAAGTCAACACATTTAAATTGCTTGTTTTGTTCACAGACATGTCCAAAACCAAATTATATTTAGTTTAATATTAGAATGGGAAATTTAGTAAAGATTCACATTTGAGAAGGTAAAACCAATAGAAATTTTGGCAATAAAAATGCTTTAAAATAACTTTAATGATTAATCAATTATCAAAATAGTTTCTCTCAATTCCTTGTGCATCAGCTCACTGATAAATCCAACAACAGATTCTGCTCTATAATCAGGTCCTGTGGGTGTGATCAAAGCATAATTTTGTCTGTTTCTTTATTATAATGAGAAAAATGCAAACTTAATTGAAGATTTTATGTTGGCTTCAGTTACTTTTGTGTGACAGTGGCAACCTTGGAGTGTCTTTCAAAGGATTACGTTCAAATTGCATGGCATCACAGGTTGCCTAACCCAGAGGAATTTGTCATTAATGCAACCCTAATGGAGTATATTAACTGGGCTGAAATCCTACATAGTGATTATAATCATTATAATCTTAACGGTTCCAAGACTGTTACATTAAGAAGGAGCATTACCATAGGTCATTCCTCCCCACAGCGATACATCACTGCAGGGATAAGCTAGGTGAAAGTATGAGGGACTATGTAATAGTCAACTGACTATGTAATACTCAAATCCTGGGGTAAAATTCATGGTTAATATGCACATATGTAAATTCTGTTCTTGATTATTCAAATACTTGATTATGTCTATTTTTGAGTACTTAGAATTTATTTATCAGGATGTGTGTGTGCGGTGCTTGTTCTCATGGTGTTATGTTGTTTGTTCTCTATTGCTGCTTGAGGTACTGAAATTTGTTTATCAAGATGTGTGTGTGGTGTTTGTTTCTCATGGTGTTATGTTGTTTGTTCTCCATTGCTGCTGAAACACTAAAATTTCCCCATTGAGGGATCAATAAAGTACCTACCTACCTACCTAATGGAGCTGTTGTACTTACTGTAGTGGATGAGGAGGAGGACAAGGCTGTGGTGGGGGGGCTGTAGTAGCGGGCATGTGGGTGGAAGGATCGTGCAGCTGGGAAACCCATGATGGGAGATTTGATGGCCATGCCCATAGGAACTGGCCCAAGCAAAGATGACCCGGCCCCAGCTGCGAAGAACTGACGGAACTGCTGCCCTCCCATCCCAAGGCTCCGCATGTTACCTGGACAAATGAAAAGCATGAAGGAGTTGTAGTTTAATGCTTTGCAACATATCATAATGACAAATAAAATCTTATAATGCAGCTTTTGATTATTAGCTACTAAATATGTAGGGACTGGGGAATGCGGGGGCTTTGCACTGTTCCAGATCGATTTATATTTTAATGCAAATGCAAACTGTACCCTGCATCTGCTGCATCAGTATGGCCCCCTGTAGCATGGGATTGGGGGCGATGATGGTTGTCTGAGTCGCCTGGCACAAGTTGACCATCCTGGGTGGAGGGGCTGTCTGGGGAGGCACAGAAATGGCCCTGGGCAACAAATATACAAGTGCATATAAACATGTAGCATTACTTCAATATATTTAAGAAAAAGAAAAGCAGATTTTCAGTGAAAAATATATTCCTGTCAATAAGAGCAGAGTAGTCTGCCTTCTGGCCAAACTGGAGGGCAGACCCTCACATACTCATATTATGTGAAAATCAGCTAACATCCTGAAGTAGAAATACCATGAGTCACAGTTTCTTGACATGGACTCTGAACACATATGCTCTCTCAAAGTACAAACTAATTAATTCACTGTTATGATAAACACATAAGTAGCACTAATGACCGCATGAGAGCACAGCAAAGGAAACAGGCACAGTATGGTCTGCTGGTGGTATAAAGCAAGCTGTACTCTCTGCTGCTTTTGCTCATCCTAGGAATAAACAAGATGCAGTAATAAAAGCTGACAGGGAACATGGCACAAACCCACAAGGTACCTTGCACTGTAAATTAGGACCTGTGCTGGTGCCAAGAGGCCATAACACAGGTGATCTGATCGCACTATTTGGTTTGGAGCCACAAATTTTGCAACAGTGTTTCATTGTCTTTAGTTTAACAACTATTTTCGGTCAGGCCAGATCCAGAAAGACAAAGCAGTAACTAAGAGGTCTCTGGTAACAATAACAAACAAATATTTCTATAAAGTATACCAGTGCTGCTAGTTTGGGACAGAAAGAAATACTGATCAAAGTTATAGCTGCAGGTTCTGGGTCCTGCGGGTTATGGCTATACGCACCTTCAACAATACACTAAAACACTACCAAATTCTACAAATACTCCATTCAAGTTAAAATTGCGCTCGCTAATAGAGTTCAGCCATTTTTTAATCGTGAAGTCTTTCGTGGCAGGACGTCCAGCTCAGCAAACGTCAGCAGCTAAATGCTTTATATCAACCTAAAGGCCCTGTCCAATCCCCGGTCTCGAGTTAACGGCCTTACCGCGGTGTCTGGTGGTGGTGGTGGGCGACATGATGCCCCGGAGGAGGCGGTGGCGGGGGCGGCGGAGGAGGCTGGCGCCTGCGGCAGGTGCGGGTGAAACTGTGGCTGTTGCTGCTGTTGCTGCTGCTGCTGCTGCTGATGGATGTGTGGATTGAACATTGCGGACTTTAGACAAATTTCTGCTGGTATACTGTGAGCTGGCAGACCCGCAGCTGCGAGATGTGCCTCTTAAAATATAAGGTCCCTGAATCACAGGAAGAAGAAAAAATGTTGTGACTATATGCCCTGGTGTCAGAACAGAACAACTCTTTGTTGTAGCTAAAGACAAACTGAACAACAGGTCGCTCTCATATTTCGTGATGACAACTCGCTACTGTTAGCAATTAGCGTTAAGCTAACAATTATTTACATTTCGGTTTACTTTGTTTATCGTATTTCTTTACCTAGTTACGCAACTTTACGAGAACAGCATGTTAACAATTTGTTTGTTTTCACAGAAGGGAATGACATGTTACTCCAAAACTAACACAGAGTAAAAACCTGAGTTAACTATTAAATGAACAAGCTACATTAGCCACCGTTCAGTAACCGAACCCAACAAGTTAGCTTATCGTAGCATTGACCTAGCTAGCTAATTCATAAACTAGCTGTGCCTTCTCAGGCACTTTCTACATTTTACTTTTTTACCGACTTGCTTCTCAAAGAAGAAAGCGGCGATGATTTCTTCATTATCCACCTAACAACACAACACAACACAGGGCTAAGTACTTGCTCTCAGTCCTGGTGCAACTTGTACGAAGCAGGAACCCAAACCAGCCCTCTACTGGCTGTCTGCATGACTGAAACGCCTCGATGTCTGCATAACAAATGGATGTTCAAATTATGCACTTTTTCAATTGAGTTTATTTCATTTTTGAAACATTTCCTCCACATTTGTAGATTTAATAAATTTTGTGTATTTAAGGTGTTACATTTTACACTAGTACAACCTGCTAACTAATACAAATAATTAATAAATAAGACAGAATAAAATCGTTACATACAGTACATAGGCTATAGAGTCCGGAATATTTCATGTAGACTATATATTTTTATTATTTTATGGTTCGCGTCTCTCTCTCCATATATATATATACAATTAATCATTCTCTGACGAGCAGTTAATTGATACATTTACTAATGATAATGGTTCTGCAGACAGTTGGATGCTGAGGATTAGGATTCATAACATACCAAGTGGACATTCATCCTCAGGGAATCACAAATAGGTTTGTGCAGATTAATTCAGTCATTTTCATTGTGCCCCAAGTTGTTGGACCACACTGTATGGATCGTAATGTACATGGCTATAGGCTACTGGATTAGCTGTAGAGCTCCCGCTGGTCTCTGTCCATGGTGCTGAATCTGTTCGCATCTGTAAAACTCTCAAAATTGGGGTTTGGCCAATAACAGTAAAAAACAAACAAACAAACAAAAAAACTGGAGGCCAGATTTTTCATCACGCCTCAATAAATGCAGACTACCTGAACAAGATTAGACTCCAGAGTTTCACAAAAGTCAGGATTTCCTGTCATCAGCACAATGTGACAAACAGTGGAAGTAGGCTGCCTCAGGGTCGCCACCGAGCGGTGTGTGTGGAGTGCTGCAAAGAGAGAGTGTGTTTGTTGGACTGATCTGACACACCGAAGTGGCGCTGTCAGCGAGAGAGCAAAACGAAAATTGAACCGGTGTGTCCGCAGACCAAAACGCTCTTTAAACTGGAGGGTGGCGAGAAGAAAATTAAGAACTAAATCTTCCCCTCTTTGATAAGGAAGGCGGCCTGTATTGCACCGCGAAGATGGGGAACCGGGGAATGGAGGATTTGATTCCTCTGGTGAACCGCATGCAGGATGCCTTCTCCGCCATCGGTCAAAACGCAAACCTGGACCTGCCGCAGATCGCCGTGGTGGGCGGCCAGAGTGCTGGCAAGAGCTCGGTGCTGGAGAACTTCGTCGGGAGGTAAGTAGCTTTTCCAGGCTGCAATGCATGTTGGTGCCACCCGGTGCAGCATCACGCAGCTTCATTTTACACTATACACAACTCATTACCCATCCCCCCTTCTCAGGCAGGTTTAAATCCAGGCTTCTCTGAGATATTAGTATCGTATTTCATATTTCACTGCAGTTTTTTTTTTATCTCTTTGCTGCAGTGAACACGGCACCAAGGCAAAGACGTGAATTTTTAGGCCTCCATAAATCCGTAGTGAACTTTAGCTATTGCTGTGTGTTACATTCATGGAAACACAAATTCCTGAATTTTCTGAAGGAAGTGGTGTCAAAATAACATCGTGTTGTGCTTGTTTACCATCATAAACCTCGAACATGGATGCTGACTTCCTGTTACAGGCAGCTTGGTGCATGTGTTTTTTCGTTTGCACTTTGAGTTGCATTTGTGTATGAAACTGTACTATAAAAGACTCACCTTGCCTTGTTTCTGAGGCAGTGCTACTTGTTTTTCTCCACAGGCTAATCCTGAACAGACAATGGTGCAAGATGATGTTGCTCTCTCTGTCTCTCTCTCTTTCTCTCTCTCTGTGTGTGTGTGTGGAGGTTTCAGTCTTGTAAACTTGCACAGTTTTTACATTTTTTTTTGTCTGTCAGAGGTGATGGTGATGATACAAAACAGAATGAGGGGCACAGATTTGATCTGTTATGCTGCAGAATGACCTTGCAGAAAGGAAAAGCGAAAGTCCACCTGAGCTTTGAGCCCTCCAGCTTAGCTCATTGGTCTGTCTGTCAGTGCCCAGGCAACAATGTGGGTGCCACTTTTAACAGTTTTTCAGCACTGCTTACTTGTATTTCAGTTGATCTGGACATCTTTGTGGTTTCATTGACTTTAAATCCCTTGGACACTGTGCACAGAGTGTGCATTTCAGCTGTGTTTCCTGTTAATGCTAGGTCAGAGTGTGTGCCAGCTCATCCCCACACTGAACGAGGTCTGGGTACTCCATGACAAAATGTAATTTATCCCTCTGGACAGATAGGGACCCATAACTCTCTGGTAGATCTCAACAAGCATGAACACATCTGTTTTGCTTGACACCTTCACGTGCTTTTCTGACATTTGGTTGACAGCAAAGGATGAATAGTTCACCACATGGCCACAGTGCTAATCCTTATTTTAACAGGTAGTAGTTGAGGCAGGCCTACTACATATCAGTATAATCTACTCTGTTGTGGATAAAAGGTGAACTTGGGATATTTAAGGAATCTAAGAGTACTCCACTGATTGCACACTCATGATAGACAGTTAAAAAAGAAGGAAAATTGATGCAGCAGAACCAGCAAACTCTCTTTTTTTTAGTCCATATTTATTCATTGTCAAAACCTGGCACCTACATTACCCAGAAGAATGCAACTTCAAGCCTAGATTCTAATCTTGAGGCCCGACCAATGTGTACTCAAGTGATATCACTTGAGATAGTTTCTAAGGTTTTTCGCAGCATCATCTGAAGCCACAAGAGGGAGACTTTGGTGTTTTAAATAGCTGTAAAGAAAGTTTGCTGTGAATTGTTTGTGAGTATCAAGCTTGGCCATCTTGCAACAATGAGCAGATAGCTGTTCCTGTCATGTGATTTGTCTGTTAATATATGCACTAGTACAGCTGCAGTGATGTCTCTTAGGTCCTCCCATCATCCTGCTCCTCATGTCTTCCACCCCCTTACTCAGAGCTGCCCAGTGTGTTTGCATTATTGGCCTAAACCAGCACCTCCTTACAGTATGCTGTATCATATGTGTACATGTCACAACACCTCCCCTCCCTGCCTCTTATGGAGACATTCATAGTAACCTCTCTCTGAAAGCAAATTAATTTAATATTTCTGTTAGGCTCATTTGCTGCTTACCATTTGGTCATTTTTGCTTTGACAGCATTGTTCCAGATTTTGACAGGAAAGTCTGCATTGCAATGTTTTGTGCTTTTTTTTTGCCTTAGAGAGCTGAGATACATTTGCATCCGGGGACTTCTCTTTTGTCTTTGCTTTTTGAATGAAGAGAAGATTATCGTTTTATGAATGTTTTTAAATAAAGCACAATATTTATAGTTTTGTTTTTAGGATGGTATACATCTCTAACAACCATCCATCCATCCATTTTCTAAACCGCTTAGTCCCAAACGGGGTCACGGGGGGCTGGAGCCACATCTCTAACAATAATATTTAATCTAATAATTATTTTTTAAAAATGGACTAATCATTTAGTCTGTAAAATGTTATTAAAATTGTTTAATTTTCCCAAACTGCTGGTGCTATCATCTAATCAGTTAAAAATATCCAAAGACATTCATTTTACAATTACACAGAAGCAGAGAAAAGAAGCACATCCTCTTTAGGAGCTGAATGTTAGGTATTTTTTCCTGAAAACTGACTTAAAGTAACAATTAACTGATTATAAGAATTGCTGAACTGTGGCAAACAAGGTTTTCATTGATTGGGCAATCAGTTAAATAACACATTATTTCAGCACAGTATCAGTTAAAACTACACACACATGCCTAGCATGGAAGTTCTGCATCTTCTGGTCATTACTTTTGGTCTGCTGTAACATGGCAGTAAAGAAGACATTTTATCCACTCCATATTTTTTTCCCATGAGTTTAATTAGCACAGACAAAGCAGGGAGTGTGGTCTCCAGTGTCAAACACATGCAATGCCACCTGTTAGATAGAGGTGGGAATGCCACATATGCATATTTGACAAAATTCAACATTTTCGCTTGCACTGTTTAATATTTTCTTATTATATAGGCCATATGGTATGATTAATCAAGTAATCCTGAAACAGGACACTGTTTATTTACTGTTTCAGTAAGGCTACAATTGAGCAACATATTTATCATTTTAAAGTAATATAACAATATTGTATTATAAACTCAGAATATTTAGTATGGATAATGTGTACAGACGTATTGTTGATGCATACAACTGCATGCTTTTTTTTAGCTGGAAACTAGTTTCAGCACCACGGACAGCTCTTTCAAAAGCTCTTTCTAATCAGCACCACAAATATACAGTATCTCCTAAAATGAACATATCAATGCCATTGAAAATTGCTTTTCATGTATAACATTCACATTATCCTGGGAGATTATGGAAACAATAGCAGAAATAATTAGACTTTAGGAATTTATTAACAATTCCACCTTTTTTTGCTGATGCACGGATCTCTCTCTGGTGGTTTTGGACTTTTTGATACAAAATAATTTGCGGTGTATGCACTTTATCAGCAAATGCTGCTGGTGCTAGCACAGCCCAAGAACATAAAACTAGAACACAAATGTTTTTGTCTTCCTGCTGCCATCACTATTTCAACCCCCTCACATGATTATATAGTTGGTTTCATGTATTACATAACACTGAGAGGGCTGGAAGCATTGTGAGGAGAAGCAGCAGCTTCACTCACTTGAAAAAAAAAGACACTGTAGCTCCATTAAAAGCCTTTATCCTTTTCAATTAAGGCCCTAAGGAGGAGGAAGTGAAACAGAAACATAAAGGATGGAACTTTATTGACTTATATAGGATGACGTGTTAAGGAAGGGCAACAATAAGCTAAACCATCCAGCATATAAATAATATTTTGAAATAAATACATTAAAAATCGATAGGATAGACTACTAATGACAATAAATGGTTAATGTGGTGTGTTGTTCATTTCTTTAGGCTCTTGATTTAAGATTTTTTAAGATATTTTTATTTGTGGATTCCTTTGAAACATAATTAGATTTCAAAGAGTTTTTTCTTATTTCAGATCAATATAAGCTCTTGTTGTAAAAGTTTGATAATTTCCTATTTAGTTTAATTAGGACTATATCATTTGTTACAAATAAATACGTTGGTGTACAAATAAATATGTTAATACTTTGTTTCAGAACTGTTTATTTTTCCAATGATTAGAACTCAGGCTTCAATTAACAATGTATTATTATTATTATTGATTCCTATAAAATATCAGAAAATAATTATCAGATCAGAAAAGTCTAACAGCAAAACAAAAGGACCATGTTTTTTTCATCCAATCCTACAAAGATATTTAGTTTGCTAAGTGGTACGTTCTGACATCAGAGAAGCAGGTAATGTTTGACTTCTTTCCTAAAAAAAAAATCAGTTAAACAAATAACAGACTAAAATAGAATCCAAATTTATCAATGAATCATTTCAGCTTTAATTACATAAATTACTTCCTTTCTCAGGAAGTAATTAGGAATTTATGGGACCTGTAAAGTACAGTCCTACAGTACTGCTCTTGTTAGAGTAATGAAATCAGTTTCTGAGACTGATGTGAACTGTAAAAGCAGTAGAAAGCAACAGCACAGTAAGACTGAGAAAACATTCAGCATAAGAGGCGGGGCAGAGAGGACGTCATTTGTCCCGATGCTGCTACAGAGGATTACCACTAATCTCTGTTGGGTCTGCAGTTCACCAGCAATACATTCTCCCATTGGCTCTATGGGTCTAATCTGGGTAGCCACCATCCAGCAACCAGCCATTTCATTCGCCCCATCCTCCTCTGAGGGTGAGAGCAACGTGTGTATACTGTATATGTGTGGATAATTTACCAGCAAAACTCAGTCTCATCCCTCTGAGACCCAAACGCTGCTCAAAATGAAAATTGCTTTGTTGAGCTATTGCATTCTCATCAGGGCTGTTATTGCTCTTCACATTAGAGCATGATTAAATGAGACTCAGTGAGATACTGGGAATCAGAAGGGAAACATGAACTGGTCAGCAGAGCAGTGTGTTGAGCATGGGTTAATAGATTTTTTACAAGAATTTTTGTATAAAAACATACAAGTGAGAGAAGAGATTTATACATCTGAACTGTATATGACTGGGGCTCAACTGTGACGCTGTAGCAGTGATGCAGAAAAACTCTTATTTATATTACATCATGGTATATTCATTATCAGACCTTCCGGTCATAACATAGACTGATAAATAAATGATATCATATAGTGAATTGGGTAAATGATGTTGTCTGGTATCCTGTTTAAACCAAAAGTGCTTTTAGACAGACCCTGACTGCACTGCAGTTAAGTGCTAGGAGTGAGCATCTTAGTGTTACCTCTGTAAACTTTCTTTCATTTGCTGTCACTGCTTTGCCATTGCACTACCCTCTCCTCTGTATCTCTCTTGTCCGGGAATTGTGTCAGTGCTTTTGGCAGTCAGGAGTGTGAGAGTTTTTATTCCTCCCCACCTGACCATGAGGGATGAAAATGCATGAGGGTGTGGGAGTTTGAGGAGAAGATGGAAATGAGTTGAATGAGAAGAAGAGCTGTAGTTAAGGCCATATGTCTCCTCCTAAAGGTGTCCAAGAGGGAGAAAGGGATAGCCACACATATACAAATTATACCCAACACAATGAAAGGCAGACCAGCAGATGGGCAGACCAACAGGGGAAGGGTTCCCTTTGTTGTGCAAGGCTGCAGTATCACAACCAACATTGAAACAAAAGGCCCAAGTGAAGCTCCCTAGAAACAAAAGGCCCAAGTGAAGCTCCCCATTGTAATTGTATCCAGCAAAGCAGGTGTTGGTAATAAGCAAACATTAGTATGACGTCTTTGCAGGCCTATCTTGACATATATACAGTCAAAGTTTGTCAGTATTACCAGGATAAATTTTTATTGCTGTTAGTTTTACTGATAATCATTCTTGTTATTTACCTGTCGTGTTACAGGGATTTCCTTCCTCGTGGTTCTGGTATTGTAACCCGTCGTCCTTTGGTCCTGCAGCTGATTAACTGTCCCACAGGTAAAAACATCTTGCCCACTGAGGTTCTTGTCTATAGAGAAGTTTTAAGTTAAAGCTAAACTCTCTGTGGAGTCTTAAAGATGTTTCACCACTCAGCTGAGAGGCTGTTGGCCCTCATAGCCTGTCTTCTTTTTTCTGTTTTCTCTTTCTCTGTTCATCATCTTCTAATTGTCTTCTTTTTATCACAGTTTCAGTTACGTTTTATCTTTCTTTGTCATCTAGAATATGCAGAGTTCCTCCACTGTAAGGGCAAAAAGTTCACAGATTTTGATGAGGTCCGACAGGAAATTGAGGCAGAGACTGACCGCGTCACGGGGGCCAACAAGGGCATCTCCCCTGTACCCATCAACCTGCGTGTCTACTCTCCTCATGGTGAGGGGAAACTCTGTTTCCACAGTTAGAGATGTTTGTTGTGACTTGCATCCTGTTTTATAGTTGAATCTGACTAGAGTAGGTGGTGAAACTTTTTAAACCTTTGATTGCACATTTGATTTTAATCATTCAGTTTCTAAGCATGCATGTTTGACATCAATAAATTACACACATCCAAGCCTCATGCATCTGACAAAGCTGCCTTAGTAGGTGCCTTTTAGTTCCCCTGTTCTGGTTTCTCTTCACAGTGCTGAACCTGACCCTGGTCGATTTGCCGGGAATGACCAAGGTGCCAGTGGGCGACCAACCTGCAGATATCGAGTTTCAGATTAGAGACATGCTGTTTCAGTTTGTCACCAAGGAGAACTGTCTGTTGCTGGCTGTCTCCCCAGCCAACTCTGATCTGGCCAACTCTGATGCTTTAAAGATTTCCAAAGAGGTCGACCCTCAGGGTGAGTTACCATTGTTACTCCACTACGTTTCAGACACACAACTGTAGCAAAACTAGAATACGGGTATTAAGGGCACATCAAGTATGTAGGAGCATCAGAAATCATTTTAAGTTAAATTTTACATTTCAGTTTCAGCATTGGTTTGTGATAATTGAGTTTGATGGATCATTATGTTGGTGCATGTATGCTTGTAGGTCTGAGGACCATTGGCGTCATCACCAAGTTGGACCTGATGGATGAGGGGACAGATGCTAAAGACATCCTGGAGAATAAGTTGCTTCCACTCAGGAGGGGTGAGCATAGACTCTCTCTCTCTCACACACACACACACTTCTCTTTCCAAAAATGTCCAAAAAATGTAACCCTGACCCTAACACTTCCTCTAACCTAACACTAACCTAACCTCATCCTAACCCTAAACCCTGTTGCCACCCTAAAATTCAGTGATTGTCTTGTGGGGACTAGCTTCTGGTCCCCGTAAGGATGGCTGAGTCCCCATAGTGTGAGTGTGTTAACAGGTTTCGTTCCTCATGATGTAAGTAATACAAAGGCACACACACACTCACACACACTCTCTCTGTTCTATTTCAGGGCTGTAGCAGTGACACAGTGTTTCCCTCTTGTGGTAACAGGCCGTCATACTCAAAGATGCTTACTCAGATTCTTTAACCACTGAAAAAACAGGAAACAGGAATAGAGAGGAGGTGTAATAAAACAGGATTGATGGAGAAATCAAATGAAAGGCAGAAAAATAGAATAGAAGAAGAGCTGGAAAGGAGGAGAAGAAGAAGGAGAAGCAGGGAAGGGGTCAAATAAAAAAACTGCTTGTAAAAGAGTTAGCATGAATCTTGCGGGCTGCCCTTTTTTGCAATGTGCTGATCTGGTACCTTTCTTTTCCATTTGCACTTGGTCAGGGTCCAGGCATGTGCTGTTGAATGTTTTCCATGTCCTTTGTTTTTTATGTTTCCCCCACTCTGTCTCTCTCTGTCTAATGCTGTGGTGTTCACATTTACAAGACTTCGGACTCACAGAACATGAAACAACCTTTAACTGATGCATGAGAAAACTTAACTGGAGGTGAAATTGGATCTGTTTGACCCAAACTGTCCAGGTTTTTGGTCCTTTTTCTTTTTCTCTTTCTGTCATAAAATCTTGGACACACACATGCAGACATTTACTGGTCTAATTCCTCCTTTGTTCCTCTCTTACTTTCTCTTTTCCACTCAACCTTCATCAGTTTTTTTTTCAGTCTGTCTTTTATATTGTGGTTTTATGCAGCTAAACATCATTAAACATGGTTTTTAAGCGGTTGGACCCTGAATGGGGAATTTCATTCTGGTTTTAGCTGTTCAAGCTGTATTTATACATAGAAAATAGGAGCCCAGCACAATCCCAAATTGTTCAAGGCTGTGCTGTCTTCAGTCAAATTACCACTCAGGCCAAAAGTATTGAATCCAGGCTGTTCTCAAAAATTCCAGGAAGTTATAACAAAAAAAAAAAGAAGTTGGATCTGGTTTACTGCAAATCTCACAGTGCTTCAGACTGTGTTGCAAATGTCTGTGGGACTTTTGTTTGTTGTGTCCAGGTTACATTGGTGTAGTGAATAGGAGCCAGAAGGACATAGATGGGAAGAAGGATATTAATGCTGCTATAGCTGCTGAGAGGAAGTTCTTTCTCTCCCACCCTGCATATCGGCACCTGGCCGACCGTATGGGCACTCCCTATCTCCAGAAAGTTCTCAATCAGGTGTGAAAACCAGCAAGACACAGTCACATGTGTCTGTAGTGCTTCCATTCATAGGTCATGTGTTTCTCAGTAACACTTCATTAAATTCCAACATTTCCCATTTTCACAGTAATTTAACTCTGGCCTTTGACCTGTGCAGCAACTCACCAATCACATCCGAGACACCCTGCCAGGCCTGCGGGCCAAGCTGCAGAGCCAGCTACTCTCCATAGAGAAGGAGGTGGAAGAGTACAAGAACTTCAGACCAGATGATCCGTCTCGAAAGACCAAGGCTCTGCTCCAGTGAGTAGACAGACAAACTGATAGATACAGATGAATGGATTTGTTGATCCCTGCATCTCTGCCTCCCTGTAGGATGGTGCAGCAGTTCTCTGTGGACTTTGACAAGTGCATAGAGGGCTCTGGGGACCAGATTGACACAGCTGAGCTGTCAGGTGGTGCCAGAATTAATCGCATCTTCCATGAACGCTTCCCTTTTGAACTGGTCAAGGTGTGTGTATACCAGATCTGGGACTTATTTTCACTAACCAAATGACTATTGTCTCTATGCATGGCAGTGTCAGTCTGTCAGTAGGTTCACTACTTACTGTATGTCAACAACTATCAGATGATTGCTATGAAACTGGCCCAAAAGGATGAATCCTAATGACTTTGGTGACTTTTCCTCTAGTACCATCAAGAGACTGACATCTTGGGGTTTACACATACTGTATACAGTCTATGTAGTTGCATTTTTAATTTGTTTAACTTATTTATGGCCCAATACCTGCAAAATTTGTTTAACTTATTTATGGCCCAATACCTTCAAAATGACATTCCCATCAACCTAGCAGACTAAATAGAGGAAGAGGGAGAAAAAAGTCCTACATGACAACATATTTTGCTTTAAAACAAGCACAGGATCTCTCTCAGACCTTTTTCATCCTTAAGTCTCTCCCTTCTTGCTCTTTTCCCAGCCTCAAAAGGAGAAAATGCTTCCCTTTCTGTCTTTTCTGTCTTTCAACTACATCTCCCATTACTTCTCCCCTTCATCCCATTCTCACACTGTGCATCCATGTCTCATCCCTCCCCCCATCTTTTCTGTTCCCCATCACATCATTATTACCCCATCCACCTCTGTCTCCTTCAACCTTTTAACTAAAATCTCCTTTTATATATCAACCCCTTTTCACTATCTCTCTCATTACTTTCCTTCCTCTTCTTCACCTCCATGTGAGGATATAAAACTTACTGTCTGTTTCCCACTGAGAAGACAGATCCAGTAACCTCAGTATCTGCCAGATACATTAGAAGCCAGTTCATCACTATGTTTTATATGGAAATTGTTAAACTTTTGTTGAGGGAAGTGGGGAAAAGTGATGTATTGCAGTAAATAGAAGTGAGATACTTTAAATCAAGAACCAGTTTTACTTCCAGTGTTACAGTGTGTGGCAGAATATATGAGTTAAATCTGTTGGGAGCATTAAGGTTCTCAAAAAGATAAAAACAATGCTCTAAATCTTAATGCACAGAATGTCAAAGGCATTTTTATGAGCTGAACTAGAGAAAATAAAGGATGGAGGATTTAAGAGAGTGAAACATTTATTTGGTCCATGAATGTATGAAACAAAGAGAGAATATACTTACTGTAAACTTTCCTTGTTGTCTGTTTCCCTCACAGCTAGAGTTTGATGAAAAGGAGCTCCGCAAGGAGATCAGCTACGCCATCAAGAACATTCACGGCATCAGGCACGTCCATTTTTCACCTCACCCCTCTGACCATCTTACCCTTCCTCTTTATTTCGTCATCCTCTGTCACCTCTGCTGCATCTAACTGACTTTCCTTGTCTAACTGCCAAAACCTCTAGACTTACCTTGAATGCTCTGTTGAATATGCCATCAGTAGACTCAGAAATCTGAAATTTGGGAATAGATGGGTGAATACTGATGGCATTATTTCTCTGGCCTTTCATTTAGTCTGTTAGTCTGTCCATGCTGGTCAGTGGCTGCTTCTCTGTCATTTGTCCTTGTTCTCCTTTTCTGTTTGCATATGGAGGATGTGTACTTGCACTATGAACTGTAGCATTCAAAGGCAGAAACCTCAAATTTACATTTTGTGCCACAATAGTTTGGTCTGTCTAAATCTGATTTATGGGTTTATTTATATTTGTAATAACAGTGTATCATATGTAGGACACAAATAGGTTTGGAAATGTAGTTTACAAAGAAACAGTGTTTCATGTACTTCCATGATGGGTAGAATATTTCTGGTTTCTGTCACTACTAGTTTCTACATACAGTACAGTAAGTTCTCTTCCTACAGCAGTTTGAGGAACTTGTGGTTGCTTAACTTGCCCTTGCTAGGATGTATTTTGAGTGCTTGAACACTTGTGCCAGAACTGAAATTGTACTCAGGAAACAAAAAATATAATAACAATGAATGATTTTTAGTCATTGAGTTAATCATTGGGACTGGAAATACTGAGATAACTCAGTCTAAAAACATTTAGTCCTTCATGGAAATAATTCAAATGTCTTTAATCTTTTGCATCAAGTGCTAATGGATAATTCTTCAAGGTGGCCTACAGTAACATCATGTTTAACCGATTTTGAGGGAAGGTGATTGGATATTTCCTGCAGAAATTGCTTGATATTTGCTGCTTTCAAACTGTTTCATAGCTCCATTCCCTTTCACTGTCCCTGTCTAATTTGGGGCAAAAGCTCAGCAGTGGAGGGTCATTATTTACCATTAACACTCTTCTCTTTGCCCAATCCTCCTCTGTCCTTCTGTTTTTCTCTGGACCACCCTCTGTTTTGACCCCGTGGCTGGGTTTCTCTCTGCTGGGCAGAACTGGCCTCTTCACCCCGGACATGGCCTTTGAGACTATTGTGAAAAGGCAGATTGGGAAGATTAAAGAGCCTTGCACCAAATGTGTGGACATGGTCATTTCTGAGCTAGTCAATACAGTTAGGCAGTGTACCAAAAAGGTAAAAAAATAAAAGGAAATGTGTTATATTCAACTCTCCCTCTGCTGTTCACTGCCTTTTACTGTAACCACCTGGCTCTCTCCAGCCATCGTTGTTTTTGGACAGCGATGGGGACACCTGGAGTGGCAGGGTGGGCTGTTGGACACCTGCCTGCCTACGGGTTTGACTGGGCAGGCTGGACATGGTAGAAAGCTGTGCTGAAGAAAACCAGTGTGGAGGCTGAGCTGTTATCAAAATATGGTTGCCAAAAAAAAAAAAATCTGAGATACTAAGAACCTAATACTACAGTTTCTGCAATTCAAGTTGAAGAGTACCTGATGACTGGTATTTTGAAGCGAGTATCACAGCTCACTTTTGCTCTGACACGGTTTCCCTCTTGAGCTAGTCTCTGAGTATTTTTTTATTATAAACAAAAGACAACCACCATTTTAGAGTGAGTCGCTGAACTGAAGAGAAAGTGATTTTCTAATTTGCTTGTGTAGTTTTCTACTTAGGCTTAGTTCCAATGAAGGAATCTCTAAGTAAACAAAACTATCTTACTTTCCACTAAGGAATACACATATTTAGAAAATCTTGTGTCAGTCACTTAGAATACCAGGCAGCCATACTGGATGAATTCAGTGTTCAGACTTTCTTGTGTGTGAGATACTGCAGCTGTGCACCTGCAGCAGACAGGACCCATGATGATTGTTTTAAATGCTCTTCAATAGGTCTCAGGGGCTTCACACTCAGCTGCAGAGGCTTGTGAATGTGGCCAAGAGAAAGAGTTGTAGTCTTTATCCAAATTGATCCACTGTGACCAAATGGTTTTAACAACCTGGAGACCTTAGAATAATAAGGATCAACAACAAGATGAATCAGGGCGTCTTGGCTGAACTTTGGGGTGCACAGCTGTGGTCTTGTGATGTGTTGCTTGGAAATTATGGCTGGTGGAATTGTGCAGACTGGGAACTCTTTCTATTTCTGCCTTTTCCTCTTGTCTTCTCTGTCTTTATTGCTAGAGAGAGATTCCAGCACTGCCCTGCTTTAGAAAGGCTTCAAGGGAAACCAGTTGTCTCACTTGCAATTTATTCCTTCTGTACTGTTTACCCCCCCAAAACCCCCACACCTTTTCTTGATCTTTTTCATCTTCAACTGTCATATGTTCCATCTCCTGTTCTTACCGACCTCATCTTTGTATTGTCTCTTCTTAAAACTCTTCATTTTGGTGCCTTTACGTCTCATCTTTCTCCACATTTTTCCTTCTTTCTTTTTATTTTACTCCTCTCTCCTGTGCCACCTGCCTATTCCCACAGGACGGGGATGTTCACCCCTGACCTGGCATTTGAGACCATAGTGAAAAAGCAGATCCAAAAGCTGAAGCAGCCCACACTGAAGTGTATAGATATGGTAGCAAGCGAGCTCACCTCCACCATTCAAAAGTGTAGTCAGAAGGTAAAATACCAAAGAGAACCGAGCTACTTAATTTGCTCTGTTAAATGCAGGGGTAGGGGTAGACCGATGGCTGGATGTTTTTTCCCTAACAACTGGAGATGTATAAGACAAAAAAACAAAAAAACAAAACCAGGCCTGAACTGTTTTCTTACAAAGTCTCACAAAGCCCCAGATAGAAATGAGATTTAAATATTGTTTTCTTTCATAACTCCTCTCTTACAGTTGGAAAGATAATCAAGATCTTAGTTAATTCAGAACTGCAGATTTGTTGATTTACAATCAATTAGGCGCAGTGATTAATGTCCATGAGTGAAATATCTCTCCTCAAAGCAGCAGAAAGTAACAAATAATTGTTCACCTATAGAAGCATATTTAAAGATTCATGACAAATCTTTGCTGAAGTTTACATGTAATGATCAGGAGCATTAGTGGTAATGAATTGTTCTAAGCTGATATTTGTTAAAGACTAAGTGTAAACCATAAATGCAGACTTTTTGTTGTTTTTGAGAATCCTGTATTCACAGAATTTAACACACAATATACTAAAGATTTTCTTTAGTCATGAAATCACTAAAATAAATAAAAGTCATCCTCTGAAAGCTATGAGTGCAGAGAGCATCACCCTGCCAGTACTCGGTGTAAATGAATTCCTTTATGTAAACCAGTTCAGAACAAATGGTCAACATTTGGTTAGAGTTTTGTCTTTCATGCACACTGAAGCTGGTAACTAGCATACAAGAGTAAATACATTACAGAACGTAATTAAAGGCTGCAGCCAACAGATATCGGTCTATCCTTACTCAAGATATTACTACTGTAACCCTATAACCTGCATTTTAATCAAACTTTATTTGTCATTAGTCCTTTCTCAGTTATTGGCCTTATATTGACAATACATTTTTGCTTCTCAACCTGCATGTTAGATAATTTTTTAAACTTTTTTCCTAATGATGTCTAAAAATCCTTTGATTTTTTTGAGAATCTGTATTTGTCAGTGTGGTTTTATAAGGTGGAGTGACTGATGTGGTTGATGCACTTTGAGTGTCTCCTTATTTCTCTTCTGTCCTCTTCATCCTGTCATCCTGTCAACCCTTTGAACCGGCTGCTCCTTCTCAAAGCAGATGACCAAAATAAAAACCCTGACCTCCTTTGGATTTCTCTTCTTTGTCACAACTTTATCTTGATTTAACTTTCAGAGACATTACAATATTTAATGATACTGCATTATAATATATGCACAGTACAGTGTTTGGGAAAATCCACAGAGAGGTCAGTTTGAAGTCTTTCTCCACCCCCATCCCACCCCTGTTCCTTTGCATTGCATGTCACTCTAAAACTATTTTAATTGCCTCTGCCTGCTGACACTTGTCTTAAAAAAAAAAATCTGCGAATTATTTAGACCCAGAACACTAACCTTCATCTGCCTTCAGGTTGCAATGCATCTTTACACTGGCACAGATTATGTTGTTTTCAATTGCTTTAATGCTGAATACACAATGTCCCTCTTTATTGTTTTGTATACTTTCATTTTGATGGTTTTCACAAATTTCTTGTATTGGTGTGAATTCACAAACTGTGAAGACCACACAGTACTCCTCATCAAATCAGTTAACAAAGCTTCCATTCATAATGACACAATGGTGACATTGTTAATTACAGCTGTCATCTGTGAGTCATTCCAACAGTTGGATGATTTTTAAACATCTCAAACTAACTCTTCTTAAATATGAATCATGTGAAACTGTCTTAAATATGCACATAATGGCTACATACAATACTGTATTGCTAAAAAAACAAGGTTCCAGAGACAAAGTCAAATAGCTAAGCAAATAGGATGTTTGCAGGCTGAAACACTTAGCCCTAAATAAAGAGCAGTTGCTATTGTTACTATGAGTTCAATAAACTCTGATATATTAGCATCCAGAACCAGATCCCACTGGACACGTTTCTGTTCTGAACCGGGGGTTTTCTGTTATATGGACATGGATATGGTTATAAAATCCCACAAATTAATATGGTTAGTTAATGAGATGCTCCTTTGTTTGTAGATAAAGCTTGGTTGCTTGCTACTAGTAAGCTGCTCAGTCAGGCATGCTGATTTTTGCAGCAGTAGAGCAGGTAAACCCAGTCAGGTCCTCACACACTTGCTCAGTTGTGTTTCTGGTTTAGTAAAACTGCTTAAAAGAGACCAGACTGTCCAAACTCTTCGACATGCGGAAAAATGAAAAGCTTGACAAAGCTGCCTTGCAGAATTATCACGCTTACACACTAATAATGCAAGTTTTAATGCCAGGAATTAGACTGGCATCATCTTAACAGTATGTCCTATTACCATAAGCGTCTATTCTTTATGAATGCTTTCTCCTCTGTAACTGGACAGAAATGCAGGAAGCAGTAAATCAACTTGGGAACCAGAAAGAGGCCTATTGATCTCCACTTGCGCTCCTAACCATCTGACAGACATGAAAGATGCATTGCAACTCGCAAGAAAACAGTGTATATTTTTCTTTTTTGCGCTGTGATTTTGGTTTTGATTTTTTCTTCTTTCCTCACACTTCTCCAAATATGTTTGTGTCACATTGGAGGCCCACCAATATATGTTAGTGGGTTTGCAATGAGCTCATGGAAAAAAGACCCACAGTGTGCTGGGAAAAGAAAGATTTTTCTGCCAGGAACATTGTTTATTCTGTGTTTGTGTGGCAGTCTCACAGACTCAGCACTATTCTTTTGCATTTGCTTCACACTGAGAACAAATAGACAATTTGCACATAAAATCCAATTGAACATAAATTCACCCTCTGGTCAGGATATGCCGAGACTAGAGCTGAGCCTGGGATGAACTCCTCACAACACAACATATTTTATTATGTTTTTGTATTTTGCTGTATTGGTGGAACTGTGTGCTGTGGTTCAGTGAGATGAGTAATGTAGTAGTTTAGTAAAATTTGTATGTAGTTTTGTGACTGTGTGTTTGTGTTGGGCATTGTGTGCGCGTGTGTGTGTGTGTGTTTGCCACCTACATACTATTCTTTGTGCTCACAGCTGGCTCACTATCCAGTGCTGAGAGAGGAGATGGAGAAAATTGTCACCCAGCACATCAGGGACCGAGAAAGCCGCACTAAGGATCAGGTAACAAAACTACACGTAAATTAAGATGAAAGAGTGGAAAAGACTGTTTAATTATTTTTACAGTAATTTGAATCATTATCTTTATGATTTCAGTTGTCTAGCAGTCTCTGAGACACCGAGCCACTGCCGGGTCCAGGGCTGCTGTTGATGCCGACCTCAGACCTCCATTTAAATGGGACTGGGAAGTTATAGTTGTTATCACATTCACTACTCTTTCTCCTTTTAGGTGTTGCTGTTGATAGACATTGAGTTGTCCTACATGAACACTAACCATGAGGACTTCATTGGATTTGCTAAGTGAGTTGCTAATTTTCCTTCTCTAGAATGGAGATGGTTTTCTGTTCACTGATGCATAACATACTGTAATGTGGAGTTTGTGGCTAAACCAGTGGGGTTTTTTTTTCAGTGCTCAGCAGAGGATCAACCAGATGAGTAAGAAGAAAGCAGCTGGCAATCAGGTACTTTGATCACAAGCAAACAGACATGGGCACCGCAGACTGTCAGGTCACAGTAGAGAGCTGCTACTTTGAGCTGCAGGAACATGATTCCAGACTGAGCTCGTCCAAGTTTGTTTCAACTGCTGGCCAGTAACATGACATCTTAACTTCATGTAGTCTTTCCCAAGGCTTTATTCTGTTTGTACTCAGTTTTACCCTTGCTAAATAGGCAGTATCTTGTTACTGTCCTACATAATGCAGCTCTAATTCAGCTCTTACAGTTGTCAAATCTTGAACCAGAGGTCTGTTGTGAAATATTGTGCCTGATGGTTGCCATTGTTTAAAGAGTTAAGACCAACAATCATATTAATGTCAAATATAAAACATGCACAGAACTGTTACCTCTGCCAAGGTTGCACAATACTGGTCATTTTAATATTTTTGGGATTGTGTAGAAAACAGCTTGAATTTGAAAATCTCCATCTGGATCTAAATGCTCATAACGGTCATGCAATACACGTGTTTATTTTTTTTCTATAGGTGAAGCAGTTCATGAGAATATAACAAAGAATATTCACAAATGGTCACACTGTTAAGAAATGTACTGAAACAACCCAGCGTGCACTCTGCTCTGGATCTGGACTTAAACAAAGCCCCCACAGTATCTTATTGCCGCTTTTTTCATGCCCTAACTTTTTACAAAACTGAAATTTGGAAATATCTTTTTGAAAAATAACCAACAGACAAATAAACAAACAGGACAGGCAAAACATTAGCAGTAGCAAGCAATAATTAGCCAATAATCATATGGGTACAGTACATTCATCACGGTAACAGCCTTTATGACAACACATTTAGGATACAAAAAGGCTTTTGTATGATTCGTATTCACAGCCTCTTCTACTTTTCATACATTTCGATTTTGTTCTTCTTCTGTATTTCCCTCTTCTTATCTTCTTGCCTCTTGCTTCTTGTGCGTGAACTTTCTTTTTGCTGTCTGTCTTCACTTCTTTCTTCTTCTTCTTCTGTATTTGGCTTTTCTGCTTTAGGATGAAATCATGGTAAGTAGTGTGTGTGTGTTTGAAGTGTGTATGGGTGAATGCATGTGTGATCCTGTGCACGCCTGCAGGTAGGCTTTCATGCATATGTGTTTATGTTTATGCATTCTGCATACAGTGGGTCAGGATTACATTTTTATATATATTTAAACTTGCATGTCTTTTATTTATGTTGGGCTACAGTGGACTGTGGTTGTGTGTGTATGAAATGAGCTTCGTACTAACTGTCAGTAGATGGGCAGGTGGCTGTGGAGGGGGATGCTCTGCTACTTCCCTTTCCCCTCTTTTTCACCTGTGTCCCTCCTGCAGGCACACACACTTTTACTCACACAGTCTAGCTACACGGTTCAGCCTAGGAAAAGTGCTCAGTCAAGATTCACTTCCCTTTTATGTAATGTTCATATGCTGATGTTACAGAAAGGTTCGGAGTGGAGATGCTTGTTGTTGCTTCAGCACTGAAGCAAGTTTGCTTTGGCAGAGAAGAAATGCCCCCAGCAGTAGTTTGAACTAGTGAGGAGAGTGAAGATGAAGAAGGAAGATCTTCTTTTCTCAAAGATAGTTATAAAATATTTTATTTACACATCACTGAAGTTCTTCTCTATGTTTTCCTTTGTTATTCACTGCCTCTTCCCACTTCATCCAAAGTAGCAGAAGACCAGGGGTGGATGAAAACCTGCAGTGTGGCAGACACATGTCACCTCCATAGTTATTAGTTGTCATAACAACCACCCCGCTTGGGGTCAAGGGGCATGTTGTAGATAAAGTAGTGATCCTCACTTCCTGTTTATAGATGGCCCTCCACAGACTCCACAGCTTATGTTCTCACTCAACCGACATCCATACTGTAAACTGTAGGGTCCTTCAAGCCCCCAAATTACAAACTTACTGTCAGTGATGGAAAGTTTGAAATTTTGGACTTCAAATTTACTTACCTGTAATGGTGTGGACTATAGAACACACTGTATCGTTGATTTGAATACTTCTTTCAGTATATCTTATAATATAGGTGATAAAGTGTATTGTACTGATAACTATTGTCTGTGGAGCCAAAGCCTGATATACAGTAGCTTTGCCCTCTGAGCCACAGACCTCCATTATTGTCCACAAACTATTAAAACACAATAAATGAGCCACCGTGTTGCACTGGACAACATGTTCCACACACCATAGTTTATTCTGAGCCAATCCCACTGTCTGGTGGTGTAAGTATTTACTAGTGCACTGATGCCACAGCAGAAACTAGCCTCCAACAAATACACAGTTTACTTCTATTTGAATCATATTTGATAAAAACTACAGCTGCTTTAAGAAGCTTCTAAGCCCTTGTAATTTCACATCTTCAGCAGAAACAAATACATATATAATATAAAACAGTCAGGCTCCTGCATTTCACTGTATGGTCTTGAAAAAGTTTAACATTAGCAATTCTCACTGTAGCCTCCTTACCACCCTGCTTGCTGACCCCTTGCTACTATCCCAGCAGCCAGCTATAATGTGCTGGAACCAACCTTGTGTATATGGACTTCACTAAATGCCTTACATTGACATAGCTTTGTAACATGCTCTCCACATTCTCATTCAGCCAGAGAGAGGAGTTAACAATCGGTTCAAGGTAAATGATTCACACAACACATACAGTGTGCTTATAGTTCCTGGATGGTGAAGAGAATGAAATAAAAGAGAGAAAAGGAGAATAACAAGAGTGTCAACTTTAGTTGTGTAGGTGAGCATCACCTTGCTGTTGTTTGTGGCTGATCTTCACTAGAAGTATTGTCATTACATTTAACTGTGCTGCTGCATACATGTTGCTGTAAGCAATGTGGTGTTAGGTTTGTGAGATGTACTGGGGGAACTGGGAAAGAGGGTGGCTTTTGCCTGCTTTAAGGGTATTTATAATCCTTTTCCTTTTTTGTGTGTTTGTCTATCCATTGTTGTCTCAGGTGATCAGGAAGGGCTGGCTGACCATCAACAACATCAGCATCATGAAGGGAGGAGCCAAGGAATACTGGTTTGTCCTCACTGCAGAGTCTCTGTCCTGGTACAAGGATGATGAGGTGAGGTGGCTTTTACATACAGTCTTCACATACTCACGAACACATGTTGTTTTGAAGCCTTGTAGTGCCCTGAGCTTGATGTGATTTTTCTGTCAGAGGCCTCTTTAATGCTTTATTCAAATTCAAGAGTGGCATTTGCTTCTCTGATTTGTAGAATGATGTAGCTCAAAAGAGTGGTAGCTTGTTGCGAGACTGGAAGGTTTGGTAAAAAAAAAAACATTATTTGTCATAAATTAAAAAAAAGAGCAACTCTGCAGCAAATTATCTACATATAAAAATACAACTTGGATATTTGGATATGAAAGAGTTGCAACCAAACTGTACAGTAGCCTATGTAGTGAGCGAGACATTTTACAGGAGAAAAATAAACTTGTCATTGCCCTCTGGTGGACAAAACATGTAATGGCAGCACTGTCTCTTCAAAAATATAGTATCTTTGGTATTTGTACACTGCAGTTTATTAATATTCATTGGCTAACATATACAGTGAAACTGATTTTTCAGTTATAACCTAAAATTGATACATTCAACTGAGCAAATAATTGTCTGAAGTGTAATATAGTGTAACTGACATAGTCTCAAAATTAGGTAAAGTTTGTCAGAATACAGGGTAGATTTGAAATTTTTTTCACATTGCAAACACTGGCTGAACTGTCATATTGAAATGCCAATAAGCTCCACTGACTACTCTGTATTTTTATGATCTGCCCAATGCTGTGTGTTGCATCGGCAAATTACAATTTGCCAAACAACCTGGGACATCTTTATCTGCATCACCTAAAACTATGGATTTTTAAATTATTTTAACAAGAGTACATTCCAACAAGGAGAATAATTTAAGTTCGATCAGTGTTTATTCCCCACCACCTTCCATCAGAGAGATTCAATGTTCCTTTTCCACATTCTGGCCCAAAATTCATTCCAGCTCATGCCACTGGCAAATATGACTGCTGGTAAAGTTTGGTGGTTGTCCTCTACACACTGAGATGATTTGACCCGATGTACTCTGTTACTGGACCGACTGGTCAAAGCGGTCTCCCATGGTGCTTTGCTGAGCTATTAGGAGCTAACCACAGTCTCACTGTCTCCAGGCCTTAGCCACAGCCACTCTGCTTGCTGACATAAGGATGTATGTGTTTGTGTGTTGTGTGTGTTGTGTGTGTTGTGTGTGTGTGTGTGTGTGTGTGTGTGTGTGTGTGCATGTGTAGCACTGAGAAGGCTATTTCCAAACAGTCAGGACCCCCCACCATGTCAGACACCGAAGCTGGCACACACATGTGCATACCAGAGCCCCCTGCCCTGCCCTGCTCCCAATTACACACACACACACACACACACACACACACACACACACACACACAAAAGCTGCTTCTAATAAATTTACTTCATTTCAAAGACAGGGCACAGAGCAAGAGAGAGACTGGAACTGGGGAGGAGGCAGGAGTGTGTCTTGTTAGCTGGTTAGCAGCAGGAGTAGGGAGAGAAACTGGGGAGAAGAGGGGGAAGGGAAGGAGGTGGAGGAGGAGGAGACATGGTTGGTGTGGACTTTGTATCCTCCATTCTTACTTTTTTCCTCCCCACTTTTCCTATTGTTCCTTCATGCATCATCAAAAGCTCATCCCAAAACCAAAGTCAGAAGAAAACTCTTTTTTTTATCCTCCCCTCATCATCTGTTCAGCTCCCTGTTCTCTTTCCATCTCAGTCTTTCCTTGTCATCCTCTCCTTCTATTCTGCCACTTCCCTTCCTTTGCTGTATATTTATTTGAACACTAAATTGCTTGAGCAAGGAGAGAACCAAAACCAACAACATGCTGTTGGCGCTCAAGCTTGGCACCGAGGCTGAAGAGACACTACACTGTGAATTTTTTTTAAACAGAAATTTTAAAAAGCAAAATAAAAGAAAATTTCCATTATGTTCTTTGTCCAAGTGGAACATTTTTATGGTCCAGTCACATGAACACACTAGAGGTTATGGTGCTCATGAGGGCTTATACTCACATGTGCACCTGGGTGGATACTTGCCAAAATACACACAGTTTGTAAAAACTGGGAACAGTTTTATGTTTGGATTAATGGCACAAGAATGTAAAAAAAACCCAAAAAGATCACTGCCCGCAAAGAAAATACTGTTTTGTGCTTCTTTTTGGTGCAGTTTCATATAAACAGTGACACATTGACGTTTCTTTAAACCAACTCACAAAACAGTCCGGTCCTTTTTACTGACTGCCTCTCGTCATGGGGAAAACCCTTGCTGTCGTCTGGCAACACACACAAAAACACACATGCACACACACACTTACCCCCAGACACTAATAATAACTTTCAAACAGAACTCATGGTGCCAGGATGTTTTGGTTAGTGTGTGTGTGTATGTGTGTGTGCCTTTCGAAACCTTCTGGTCTGTATTACCACAGGACATGCCAGTTCTTTGAATCAGGCTGCTCTGTGAGCACGGAGAAAGAGAGAGCAGGAGCAAAGATGTGAGTGGAAAATATAATGGTTGAAAAAAAAACAAAAATGTACATAAAAGTGTGACTTTTATAGACTTTGAACACATGTGATATTCTTCTATTTTTATAGTCATATTCATACATTTACACACAGGACACGTCCATGTTGTCACTCAGTGGATGTAGGGTCTATTTTCTTTGGGTGCCCTTTGGCTTTTTACATGTGCGTGTCTGCCTGGGTTTCCCTGCTGCTGCTGCTTCTGGTGATCCCAGTTGTAAACATCCTGTGGGGAAACAACACACTGCTGTTTTCAATATACTCATCAGAAACATGTCTACTCGACAATGTGTGTGTAAGCTTTTTGGTGAGCATATAAGTGCACATAAGTATGGGAGTGTGCTTGTGTGTATGTTCCTGGGGCAACAACTTAAAAAAAAATTGTGTGTATGGTAGTAGGGCTCTAAATGGAAACAGGTTGGTTTGGGGTTTTCATTCTTGTAGATGATGTTCTGTGATGGAACACCCTGTGAATTTTTCTGCCCCTACTTTGCTTTTGTGTACTTGATAGGGGCTTCAAATGGTGCGTTGTGGGTTATCAGTGGTATGCTGTGGGTATGCTTTATCAAAGACAGGCAGGCTGGAACACAAACTGCGACCCCGGTGAAGAGGGAGAAAAGAAAATATAATGGAAACAAAGCAGGGGGTCTAAGCTAAACTTGTACCGTTTCACATGATGTCACCTACAAACACTAAAGCCACAAGCAATTTTCTGTTGTTTTTTTTTGGGAGCGCTAAACAAAGAATCGTAAAAATGGTGACTAGACAATGACAGAGTGGCTGCTCTCTCAGCGTTTTTGTACGGTGGCTTCCTGCATCTCTGAATATTACATAGTCATTTGAGGTAAAGCAGTCGCAAGTAGTTGCAGAGAAAGCAGAGATGTAATTGTACAGTGTGATGCTGGGGGTTTACTGTGTGTTTCAGTTATCTTTTTGGGTGAGTGTTCTTTTTTTCTGTGTGGTTAAACTCTTTCTTGTTTCAGTTAGAGCTAGTTGCCTCTGTCTGTATTACTATTTAATATCTGTGACAGTTTAAATTGCTATGTAACCTGCTTGAGAAAAGAAAAAGAGACAAATAGAGATCCAAACATATTTATTTTAACCATTTCAAACAGTTTTTACATTTTTATTGTCAGATTTCACTCCTGGTTCAATGACACATCGCGCAATGAAAGGACTATATACAGCAAGATCTGTAACCTCATGCCTCTTTTTAGGATTTATGTATCCATGACTCATAAATCCATACCCAGGAAAAGCCAGGCCTCTGTGGTGGAGCCTTTGGGTGTTTTATTTAGGCTTGTGCCTGGGCTTGTTTAAATGGACAAAGGGTGGTGCTGCATGTTCCCACAGCCTGATGTGCTCGTGTCTGCTGGAAACCTTCTGGAGCGCCGTCTCGCTCTCTCTCTCTCTCTCTTTGTTTCGTTCCGTGCTCCCCCAGCCAGCCTAACCAATGTGCAGACTACTGTACAACCACTACTTCCTGAACAGGTAGTCTGAACACTGGGCAGGCGGGCTGGGCTGCTAAAGGGGGACTATGGAGAAATTTGTATTCACGTGCACTCATTCAGGACGAAGATGCTGTCAAATTCATTCACACATACACTGAACAATACTCACTGTGAATCCAGTATCAGATTCTTGAGTCCAGCTCCTCCTGCTCTCTCAGTCTACACAATGCTGATCAGGCTGATAGAGCAGGCTGGAGGAGAAACAGCATGTGAGGGATGGTTAAGGGGAGGTGAAGGAGGAGGAGAGGTTAAACAGGGGTGATATCCACTGATTGGCAGATTCAGCGACATTCCCTCTTGTTTTCCTGCTGTGAGAAGCAGCATTCCACACCGAGCTCTGGAGGGAAGACACAAAATACAAACTCACTTTCTCGATATAACAAACATCACTAACAAAATGTGCTGAAAAATCCATTTAATAAATTTGACCATTTATTGGGGGAATTTTATATATTGCTTGTAGTTTTATTGATCAAAATAGTCAATATATGTTTTACCTAGAGAAAATTTTGTTGAAAAAATTGCCATTTATTTGGCAAAAGCTTTTCTCAATGTGTTTCCTGCAAATGGATTAAAGTATACGCACAAGGTCATACCTCATTTAGCTCAGATTTATACAGCCTAAACTCTGTTTGCCCCTGCTGACCCCTAGTCCAAGAATAAAAAAATAAAAACCAGGATATTTAACGAGACGTTTAAGAGTTTTAAAAAAATTTGACAAGTTGAAGCTTAGAAGATAAAACCACCAACAAGCCTTGGTTCCTAGTTAGCGACTTATCAATGTCTCCTGCTAGGACACCAAACTCTTTTGTGTCCTTCACAGAGGGGAAGGTTCTCCATGCAGAGGGAATACCTGTGACTGGATGTTGTTCTTTCTTTTCTTCAGGTCTTACTCTCTTGTGTCTTTTCCCCTTGGGCTGATATTTGTTTTGTCTCGTCTGCTTCGTGGCTGGTTAGCGGCACTTCATCTCCCGGTGTCCT